TGAATTTATCGGTAGAATGCACTTCTATCTTGGCCAATGTAAGGAATCATTAGCTTTTCACGAGAAAGCCCTGGAATTAAGGAAGAAAATAAAAGATAAGAAAAAGGTGGCAACTTCTTCTTGTGCCATTTCCTCTCTGTGTTATAACTTATGCCAGTACGACGATGCATTAAAATACGCACAGGAGGCTCTTGAGATCAGTGAAGAAATTAAAGATCGAGAAATGGAGGGAGTCGCTTACGCAAACCTATCCAATGTATAATTCGCACTCTAACAGTTCGAGAAAGGGATTTATTATCTAGCATAAAGTTTCATGATTGGGAAGGAGAAGCAATGGCCTACACCAATTTGAGTGCCGCTTACCATATTTTAGACCAAAATGAGAAAGCCATCGAGTACTGCGAAAAGGGACTTAACATTTTTCGACTTAAAGGAATCAGACAAGGTGAGGGAAGAAGCTGCCTTAATCTTTCAAGCTATTACCTCCATCGTGGAGATTACGCAACAGCCTTGAAATATAACGAAGAAGCCCTCAAAACAATTCGTTCACTTGGTTACAAAGCAGAAGAAGGAGATATCCTACTCAGTCAAGCCAAGATTTGTAATATATTTATGCAGTATGAAAGGTCTATCGAGTGTTATCAAAACAGCTATGGCAGACCAGCCAGTCAAATATCAGTGCTACTTAGCCTTTGGCAAAACCTACAACAACCTCGGTCAGTATAGAAAAGCAATTCACTATGCGAATAGAAGTCTCAAAATGGGCGAAGAACTGGAATTCTGACATGGAGCTCCCTTGAGTATCATTGGTAATGCACTCTACTATCAAGGTCTCTTCGAAGAATCAATTGAATATTTCACGAAAGACCTTCAAATATGTAAGGCAACCGGAGATCATTGCGGCGAAGGAGACTGCTACTCAAACATTGGTACTGTATATTTCGCATTGGGGCAGATTGAAAAATCAGTCGAGTATCGTAAAAGGGCACTCCAAATCATGAAAGAACTTGGATTAAGAGATGGCGAACGCTGGGTAAACCAAAGCTTAGGCATAAGTCTTGTAAAGAGGAACAATCTACCAGAAGCGGTCCAGTGTTTTTCGGAAAGCATACGTTGCCACGAAGAGATGCGAGCATACTTTGCAGATGAACATAAGTTGTTGCTAGATGACCAGAATGTCTCAAGCTACAAAAGTCTTTGCTTTTTGCAAATCAAGCTCAGCAAACAACATGATGCTCTGTGCATCGCAGAACAAGGAAGAGCCCGTGGTCTTGTGGACCTGCTTTCAGCGAAGTATGGTACTGAGAATGCCAGTGGTTCGAGAGCTCTCAATTTGAATGCCATTATAGAGCTTGTCACTGAACACCAAGCAGATATGCTCTACTTGGCAACTCAGCTAGGACCCATATCGATTTGGTTCCTGAAGAAAGACAGAAGAATATCTTTCTATGAGTCTGCCTGGACAGATTCCCCTGGGGATAATTTAGAGAATATACTGGAGGAATTAACAAAAAACCATTTTACATTCGCTTGATAACGTTGACTGCGAGGATCGATCGTTGGCAGAGTGCTATGGAGGTGAGTTTCCATCTGCAGCAAGGCACAGCGAGGTATCTAGGTCTGCCAACAAAACTGGAGAATGTGAACACGGAAATCTGGAATCAATGTTAAAGTTAATATTCAAGCTGACAATCTCTACTTTTGCTGATGTTATCGAGGGTCCAGAGATCGTGATTGTCCCGGAGGGGCTGTGGTTTCTTATTCCTTTTTCTGCATTGCTGGATTCATCCGGTAACTTCTTTTCGCAAGCGTATAGGGTCC